CGACGCTAAATTTCGACGCTAAATTACAGTTTTCTTGTAGTGTTGGTGGTATAACGTCCAGCCGAGACCTGCGGTTTTAAGATCTACCCTCCACGCAGGCCAGCCCTAGGGCTTTTCTAGTGTGCATTTGCATATGATCCTTTTTTTTTTAAGGTGAAATTTAAGTGAAATTTTTTTTCAAAAAGGGCCCAAATTTTTTTTTTTTTTCAGGGTCTTCCCAAACTTTGGACCGGGCCTGCCTCCACGCTGCATATGTTCGGCAAAGAGCAACACTATCCGAGTATATTCTACTTTGAAGAACCGAAGATGCATAGAGTTTGATGGTGTTGCTTTGAGCTTCCTGCCATTCTCCAGGCATCAATGGTAGATTTAAGTTGCATTTCTTCTACCGTCAATATCATATTTGAGAAAATAAGATAGTTACAAGCATTCCAAAAATTCCAACAAATCCAAAAAACAACTCGCTGAGATTCATGTAGGTGGGAGATATATTTTTTTTTTTAAAAGAACAAGACTTACTACAAAAAAACAACGAACTATATTAATTATAAAGTAATCAAAAGAAGGTATGGGTCGCATCTTATTGGAAGCCTATAGTCCGCTACTCTATACTACACAACGCATAAGTCTCTGCATCAAATGGAGGCTCTATACTCTCTATAGGCTCGTCACATCGTATGACGTCATTGACCCGGCATATTTTAGTCTGAATCCCCAATTTTTTAAATTCTCAAGAAAACGCCTAATAGCAGCGGTATTTTCCACTTCTCCGGCAAACGAAAGATCAAACCTTTGCAAGAAAATTTCCCCCTTTTTTTGACATCGACAATCTGCTATACATGTAGGGTTTTGATAGATTGAAACTCTCTTTGGTGATGGATGACGAGAGAAGGGTACTGTGTCGAGAGAACCAAGGTTTGGCTGATTTTGTGTTGCAGAAGAAGCGAGAACACTCAGATAAGCCCAAGGGTTTGTCGGAATTTCAGGAGAAGGCGTTTCTCAAGGGTTATAGAAATGTCTGCGACGCCAAAGATCCCATTAACACACTCAAAGACTTGTCGCTAATAAAGTA